CCCCAAAACCCCAAAACCCCAAAACCCCAAAACCCCGACTAAGAGAGACTTTATGGAACTCTAGGAATTATATAAATATTTTGCAGCTTTTGGGTCTGAGTGTTCTGTCTAGTGCCTCTCTTAGAGCTAGGAGGGAGTATTTTTACCTCAGTGGAGGAAGAAATTTGAGGTATTCTTGGGGTCTGTCTGGTTTTGTTTAAAGATTCCCATCTTTTCACTCTATGAGACTAGAGATTAGAACGATAGCTTTACTTGTCTGGTCTGGTTCAGGGGCATGTGAGACGGTGTTATACTGTTTTGTATTGTTTCTTTGATAAAATTAGATATTGCAAATGGCGAGTATTAAATCAAGAAGCCATAAAGAACCTACTTCTGAGAGCCATTCATTTATTGCTCAAAACTTTATGCTTATGATTTGGCTTGATTAAATATTTCATAAACACAGAAGTTTGTTTTCTAGGTCTATACTTATTTAAAAGCATTACTCAGAAGGAGATTGGCTTCCAGATATTGCCAGCTTAGTTATGACTCTGTTAACATCCTGAGTCTCATTCTAGATCATTACTATATTGTAATACCTTTGATTTTGTAATTTTATGAGTGTAATACTTTTTGATTTCAGTGCTTTTACCATTTCTGTTACTCATCAAACCTACAGAGATAAATTTCCAAAAGACAGTATCATACCAATCGCTAGGTTCTAGACTTTTATAAAGATAATTACTCTATTCTTGGTAATTCTTTTGGTTAGGGATGTTGTCCTGGCTCTTACTTGACGCTGCGCAGGCGACTTTGTTCTCTCCTTTTCCTACAACCATGAATCATTAAGAATTAGGTTAAAATTACCTTAGATCTAGACTTAAGAGCAGAGTTTTTAATGTTTCTGGCAAGGAACTTTTTCCAAGAGAGTCCTATCTTAGTTCTACCAAATCAGATGGAGCAAATACTTTTGCTTGATATTAGGAACAAACTGCAACAGTAGAGGATCATTTTTAAAGAAGCCTATTCTTGAAATAATTTCCTTTTGCTTCTCAGCATTTTTCCTATACTGCCAGTTTAGAATGAAGCTTGATTTTAGGCAGAGGCACTACAATTTTTGGAAGAGTACTTTAACAGTTTACCTTTGAGACTGTCTTTTCTTGGAAGGATCATTCTGCAGTTTAATTATTCTGTCTCTAAATTCCAAGTTAGTTCATCATAAATAAAATATTTTTAGAATTAAAAGTTGATTGTGAGCGAAGTTTATGAGACAAGTTAATTGGATCAGAGATCTTACCTATTTGATGGAAGTGCTTGCACATCCTTAGATGACTTCTCAATGCTTTCTAGATATTACAAATTTTCATTACTTGCTCGGCCTCTTATGGTCATCCTCTTGGTTGACTGTCTTGCAGTTGCAAAATTGAACCCTTGTCCTAAATCAAATGTGGCAGATGCAGCTATTGTTAGATAAATATTTTACATGAAAATGGATCGAAGGCTCCATTATTCAGATCATGGGTCTCCTGGAGATGATGAATAGCTTTCACAAGAGTTTCATCCTTCTTAAAAATAGAATTTCAAAGCATTGACCAGCCATCTCAATTATCAGGATCAAAAGAAGGAGGCAAGCAGTTAAACTCTTTAGGGTCTATCTTTCAGTGCTTAACATCTAAATGTAACCTAATCAAGTACCGTAATGCATCATACTCCTAACCTGATCTCTGGTGAATTGTCTTTTCTCCATAATTTGAACTTTCAATGAATAATTTTATTCTTGGGGTTTTGGGGTTTTGGGGTTTTGGGGTTTTGGGG